TTTTTTTAAAATCTTTAAAATATCTGTTATAGGAAGGTGCCGATATATGGGGGGATATACGATATTGTGGACCTATAAAGACAAATCTATGTCTGCATGTAAAGTACTCACAAGGAATTCCTTGTGTGGATTTTCAGACAATACGATTGGAAAAGTGGCTAAAATCATCAAAATACCGAATATAGGGGAGTACCGTTATATGGGGGATATACGATATTGTGGACCTATATAGACAATTCCGTTTCAGGGGTAAAGTGCTCACAAAGAACTCCGTGTGTGGATTTTCAGACAATATGATTGGAAAAGTGGCTCAAATCATCAAAATACCGAATATCGGGGGTACCGTTATATAAGGGCTATACGATATCGTGGACCTATGTAGATAATTCTCTGCCGAGGTATAAAGTACCCACAAGGAACTCCTTGTGTGGATTTTCAGACAATTCCGATGAAAAATATGGGTAAAATCATCAAAATACCGAATATCGGGGGGTACAGTTATATGGGGGATATACGATATCGTGGACCTGTATAGACAATTCTCACTCAGGGGGTAAAGTACTCACAAGGAATTACTTATGTGGATTTTCAAGTAAATTACGTTGAAAAATGTGGATAAAATCATCAAAATACCAAATATCGGGGGTACCGTTAAATGGGGGCTATATACCCCATAAGACCGATATACCCCATCTTCAAACTTGACCTGCCTGCAGACAAAAGAGAGATCTGTGCAAAATTTTAGCTTCCTATCTTAATTCGTTTAGACTGTAGCGTGATTACAACAGACGGACAGACGGACGGACAGTAAATCGTCTTAGAATTTTACGCTGATCAAGAATATATATACTTTGTTGGGTCTAAAATGATTATTTCGATGAGTTACAAACGGAATGACGAACTTAATATACCCTCCATACCTTTTTTGATGGAGGGTTTAAAAAAAATTGGTGAATATAGTAGCTAAATAATCAATACAGGGAGGTACTATACCAAAATGTGTAACTGCACAGACAATTTTCTGCCATCAAATACCAAATTTGAAACAATTCCGATGAATCATGTCGCTAAAATCATCAAAACATCAAATATAGGGAGGTACTGTTATATGGGGACTATAAGAAGACGTGGACCTGCACAGACACTTTTTTGTTTTAGGCTGTAGTATCTATTACGAACTTTAAAAACCAAAATTGAAATAATTCCGGTGAATAATGCCACTAAAATCATCAAAATACCGAATGTCGGGAGGTACCGCTATATGGGGGCTATACCAAAACGTGGACCTACATCACCCACCTTCAATACCAAAAGTCCTACAGACATAATATACATTTGAGTAAAATTTTATCAATCTACTTCATTTCGTTCGGAAGCTAGAGTGATTTCCACGGGCGGAGGGACGGACATCGACAAATCGACATCGATTTTTATGCTGACCGAGAAATTTATACTTTGTGGGGGTCTAAAATGTATATTTCGAGGTGTTACAAACGGAATAACAAACTTAATAAACCGTCCATACTATGGTGGAGGGTATAATAAAATAATTTCGTCAACTTTTTGTTCCGCAAAGATAGGTTAAAAGTCGAGTCAAAATGCATTATATGACTTTGAGAAGGATCAAAAGTCGGGTGTGGCTGACTACATGATACCCTACACCACTATTCATATTTAGTTAAGCTCCCGTAACAAAAGAATTTATTGACCTAGATCATACTTCCTGTCAACATTAGGCTTTAGAGAAGTTATAATTTGGTTTAGATGGGAGGTATATCCAATTCTGCATCGATTTTCACTGAATTTGACGCAGACATTTTTTTCATTGTACGTCCCGAAATTAACTCCATTTGGGCTGATATTAAGCCATTATATGCAAAATAAACCAGAAATCGGATTAAGGATATTTTGAAGCTGTATCCAAATCTTAGTCGATCTGGATAAAATTTAGCAAAGGCATTTCCGAGCTCTATAAGATGTCTGATACCAAATATCATTCTTGTGGAGTGTACATTACGAATGTGAGAGGCTTAAGGCCCAAAATCAGATGAAACATATATATAGAGCTAAAGCTATATCTGCACGGATTTTCACCAAATTTGATATACTTGCTGACTGAATTCGGTCGGTTGTGCCAAAATTCAAGTCATTCGGTCTGATATTGATCCGAAGTATGTTGAAGATGTATATGGGAGCTGATTGACTCTGCGTTTTGATGACATTTACCCATTGTAAAATGTGATGGTGTCACCATGGCGGGAAGAGATGTTATACGAAGTTGAGCTCTTCGCTTCGCCCTATCATTCTCGACATGCTTGATACATTTTCGCTTAAAATATCCAACGCACCTCTGTGGATCTATCACCGTTACGTCGTTAAAGTGACTGAAGTCCTATCATCGTTTTGTTCAGGGTTCGAGAGCGATTTAACCGTAACCCACAGCATACTCATATCGGTTCCAATGTTGTCTTATGCTTCTGTAGCAACCGGTTGAGTTCCACTGTTAATTCACTGATTCTGGGAACAGAATGGTTGGAATGACGGAGATCACCACGCTCATTTGCAAGAAAATTGGTATTATTTCTATATACAAGATTGGCTGCAGCTTTGATGATGTCTCGAAAAATGCTTTCCGATACCCGAACATCTGAAGGGTTGGACAGTTCTCCGAAGCGAAGAATGGTGAATTCTCTAAATTCTGGCAAGAGAGCTTTCCCATGGATAAAGAAAGTGAGGTGTTAAGATGTTTTGCGATCGAGCAATCTGCTTATGGAGGCGATTTTTTGGTGATAGTCTGGGCCAACAGAAATGACGGGTTGCAAAGTCACGTCATTTCTCAGACCGTGTGACACAATGACTAAATCTGGCGAACTGTGACACTCTTCTCGTATTCGGGTGGGGGCATCCTCTTTTACCATGCAAAATGTGAAGCAGTCAAACTGCTCTGCTAACGCTGACCCCCTCTGATTATTACCTAGGATGGAATGCCACAACTCATGGTGGGCATTGAAATGCCCTAGTACCAGGCGGTTATTGCCACCAGGATATACACATTAAGCACCTCTACCTCGGCAGTTCCCCACTGCTACACCCATGTATGGAACTAGTTCAAGCGGGAGCCTGTATTGAACAGAATGATGTAATAGGAACGATAGTCTTCTATCTACACTACTCTTTCTGACCTTAGTGCATTGTAAGAAAACAACGAAATAGGCTGCAATTTTTTAGAGTCTAGTTTCCTGCACCGCTGCGATCAAAACACTCCTACGTTTCATAAATTCCACTATCTCATCTATATTGCATCGGAGTTCGTTGCAATTAAATTGCAAAAACCATACACAACCCGGAGTTGGAACGACAACATGTGGCGCAAGATGCTGCGGTATAGGCTGCTGTTGGGGAGACTGCGGTGGAGCTCAGTACTCCGACGAAAACTTAGATGAGGACAAAGAGGACGTGGACTCGCTTTGGACAATATTGCTGCAGCACGTGGCAACATAATCCCTTTCGCTGTAGTCTTGAAAACGGCTTAGTCCGGGAAAATTTCTGAAGTGCACCCATCATCTACATACATTACATCGCACCGAAACAGATCTGTGGTGGATGACTTTCCGATAAACCGAGCGGAACCAAGTTATTGGCGACTGAAATGTAGGCTTGTTTACTTACTGAGAGAGCGACACTTATAAAGACACTTATAAATCGACTCGGAAGTCGGAGAGAAGTGATAAATAAAATGTGAGTTAGGGCCTGTTTTAACGGTAATTTACTTTTTTGAAAAACCCCTATTTCCGGTACGAATTCTACTTATAAACGAATATTCGGAGGAAAAATTGGTTCCTTACCATTAGACGATATGCACAAAACGCATTTTCTTTACAACGCTTATTTTGGTGGAATAAGTTCTAGAGTATGTTACCCCATTCAAATAATTTGTTCTAATATGGTATCGCTTCCATAAAACTATATTTTAGTCCATGGCTTCTTTGGCCACCTCTGAGTCTTCTTTTTTCCATCTGAAGTAGCATGGAAAACTTTTTGCTTTAGCTTTTTGATATTCGCAACGAATGAAACACCAACTTTTGGAGTTTGGTTGTTGCACGTCAAGAAGCAACAAACAAAAGTCAGCGTTACACCAGGCCAAAGGAGTGGAAAACCTCAACAAAAACAACAACAATTACAACATCTATTCAAAAACAGCTTCAACACGAACGGCAAACCGACATCAAACGTGGAAATCCATTACAACAACTCTATATCGGCTCAAGAAAAAGAAAAAAAAAAACAATTTGCTTTCCTTTCGTTAGTAAAAACCGGGAATAAAGTTGAAAACGAAACGAATCAAACGAAAGAAAGAAAAACTCCAGCTGGAGTTGGAGGCTAGGTGGCCGATGAAAGTTACCAATGCACAGCCGAGTGCTATGCAAGATATTTTCGATAGCAAGAGTGAAAAACAATCCACTGGTCACTGGGCCAATCGGAATATCATGGCGATGAAGGTACACAGAGCCGAAAATACAATGACTTTTTTAACCATGTGCATGGTTAATTTTTTCATGGTAAATGTTTGAGATCACAAACACAAAATAACGTTATATAAGGTCAAATGTAGATGAAAAATAGTTTAATTAACGTTGTATGAGGTTGTTGTTTTTTGAGAGAGACGGAAAAATGTGAGAGATACATAAAAATTTAAAGAGCCTTCGGCTCTGTTGTGGTCAACAATTTTGAACTGCTTTGTGTTTGACGAAGTTCAATATTACAATATACGAAGTTGCAACGAATGTGACTGTCATATTCCCCCTCCTCCTCTTTATCGAATCTCTTTCTGTGGTCTGAATATGTGTAAGAAAGATCAAATAGACAATCACTTCTTTAGTTGGTGTTGAATAGTGCAAGGGAGTAGTGCATGTGCTCGTGGGAATAGTGCTTGGTACAAAGGTAAGTAAAAGCTGGTGAAATTAACAAATATATTTGATTGTAATTTGTGTTTGTTTTAATAGAAAACCCTGATACTATTTCAACATAGTAATGTGTTATTGCTATATTCAAATTGTATCAGATTTGTCTATCAAATAAACTATAAATTACAATAAAGAAACAAAAATAACGGTAATACATGAAAAAACAAGCAACAACAACGTATATGCAGCGACAAGCAAAAATGAGGAGAGAAATAATGTGTGAGTGTTTATTCATACATATGTGTTCTTTTTGTCTTTGCTTGTGGCTGCTGCTACGACGTACATTAGCGTATGCATTTGTCACCAAATGTACGTTGTTGTTGTTGTTGAAGCGACAGTGTTCATATTTATGTATATCTTTTTGTTTTTTCTTCTCAGTTGTTTTTTTTTTTTTTTTTCTCTGGTGTCTTTTTTTTGGGTGCTCGTGTCTACATTTTTGGTAAGTTGTGACAATACTATTTGCTTTTATTAACTACTAGTTTCTTCTGTTTTTGCAGTCGGTGTTTGGCGTTTTGTAGTTTTTTTCACAATGGCTGAGGAATATAATTTAAAATCACTCGGTAAGGCGTTAAAAAATAAAATTTATATTAAACATATATCTTTCTTTACCAGCCCTCCCTTAAATATACATACAATTTGTAATGGAAATACATATTTTAGAAATATGCGGTATTAATAAATAAATAATAAATAAACTTGTAAAAATTACATTTTTCTTGTTTTATTCAAACAAAGGTTAATTTATTATTAAAAATTATCATATGAACTGTTTAGACAAACTGACTATGAAATGTTATTATTAACAATTCTCATGGTTACAAAAATTTAACAGTGCATTGTTAAAACAACATTTTTTTTTTAATATCAACAATTTTCGTGGTTAAAAAAGTCAATCATGGAATAGCTAAATTAACGATGATTATTTTTAAATACCAGTCAACAAGAAAATGTTTAAATTAACCTTACATAACTTAGACTCCAAATCATGTTTATTTATGGTTAAGCTAACCTTGTATAAGGTTAATTTTTTTCTCTGTGTACTGTACGGTGGGCAAGTGGTTCATTGGTGGGTGATTGTTTCGAAACTCGTACATTGACCAAAAAGGCAAGCGTGCAACATTATTTAACATTGCCTGCCCGTTAACTATAAAGGAAAAAAGCTTCGTTTTAACAACAATTATGGGTCACACAATAATACATAAATATGTGGAGTCACATGCATGGTTGGCCGACAGTAGCCGGATGGGGAATTATTATTCCTTTGGTAGGAAATGCACAAAACGCCGAGCGGTGAAGTAATTATAATTAAAAAAGAAAACTGAATCCGAAATTGGCAATATTGACTCCAGACGCCAGAGTTTGCAAAACGTGTCAACGTATCAGTCAAGTCTATCGGGAGTATAGATTTGAAAACAAGAATGAGCTTTGGCACTGAGGAAAAGAGTTAATTGCACTCTGCTTCTGCAAAAATGGGTTCTACAATACACTACGGAAGTCTTATTTGGCTCGGTGCTTAGAAACTCAAGATATGCATTTCAAAACTCTCATATGTGCGACGGTCCAAATCAATTATTACCAGGGGAGCTTGAAAAAATACTTTTCAGGAAAATTTAAATGTCATGCTAAATCTTACTCACTTGATACCCAATGTCAGGCGGCGCGAAATGCAATATGGTTAATGCAGAAGAATATGCTACAAATTGGGCGGGAGGCGTCAAAAGTCTGCCTCTGATTGCCTGCCCAATATACAAACAGGTCCAGAACGGTAAACGCAGGGGGGTCGCTCATATCAAAATTCGCAAATAATTGAAGCGGGTTTCTCGTAGGGATCATAACTATCAACAAGTAAAAAAAACATTAAGTTCGGCCGGGCCAAACTTTTAGTAACCTCCACTATTGAGGAAAGAACACATTTTATATAAAAGAATCTGCAATCAAACGTGTTCCTTCCTGTTAAACTTTTCAAAAAATTATAATGTGGATGAGGCCTTCATATGGGCGCCATACATCAAAATACTGAATATCCGAAACTACCATTATTTGGAGGCTATGAGAAAATGTGGACCTTTACACACAATGTTTTGTCACCGGAGATAGAACCCATTATGAACTGCAAATACCAATTTTTTGACAAATTCGTGGAAAAATTTGGCAAACATCGCCAAAATGCCGAAAATCGGGAGGTACCGTTATAAAAACCTGGACCCATACATACAATGTTTCGTCACCGGACCTAGAACCCAATATGGACTACAAATACCAACTTTTAGACAAATCCGTGGAAAAATGTCGCAAACATCGTCAAAATACCGAATATCGGGACGCATTATAACTCATAGATAGCAATTTTTAGACAAATCGGGAGGTTATATGGGGCTATATAAAAACTTGGACCTATACATACAATGTTTCGCCACCGGAACTAGAAACCATTATGACCTATTTGAAATTGTAAAAATAACACAAAAAATTACGTGCCGTATGGCACGTAGCGCCATCCTGTTGAAACCACATCTCCTCCGAATCAATGTCATCCATATTATTAAACAAAAAATCATTGATCATGGTGCGGTAACGGTCTCCATTGACCCTAACGCGAGCTCCGGCCTCATTTTGAAGAAATAAGGTCCGATGATGCCACCAGCAATTTTTGGACAAATCCGTGGAAAAATGTGCAAACCTCGAATATCGGGAGGTGCCGTTATATGGCGGCTATACCAAAACGTTGACCGATATATCTCATTTTTATTACCAACCATCTTAGACACAATTGTCCTGCAAAATTTTGAGGATCTGCGACAAATATTGTGGGCTGTATCGTGATTTCAGCAGACACAAATTTTTGGTGGTCATGAATATATATACAGGATGAGATGCAAAAACTGCAACAAAGTCAAAAGCCAAAACTTTTAATTTTTTTTTTTAATTTTATTGAATGGAAGCAAAAAATGTCCGAAATAGCATCAAATTTTAAGATAAGTTTATATTTATTCGAAATGGTCACCTTTGGCACGAATTATGGCCTTCAAACGGCCAATGAAACCGTTAAACGCTGCCGAATGTTGCTCTGCGGTATTTTGGCGCATTCCCGGCTAAGCGCTTGCTAGAGGTGATCGACGCTTTCCAAATACCCATACACAATAGTCCAACGGTGCTGAGTTCTGCACTGCCTTCCTGAACGAAACCAGTTCAATATGTATTTTGGTTCCAAAGTGAGCTTTTGTATGGGAGGTACTAAAAGAAGTGTGCCGATTTTTGATTATTACGATTGATTTGATTATTACGATGTATCAAATTTAATCGAAATCCCTTAGAGAGTTTTCGTGTGCACACACATATGGACGGACGTCGCCACATTGACTCCTCAAACGCATTTCATTCAAAGAGAGAGAGAGAGACATGTTGATCGTATCCAATGATGTATATTGCGGGTGACATGAATTTGTACAAATAATGGGTACCCGCTAACCCATGATTTGAATTTACTCACGACTTACAAAAATTGTTTAAGGACCGTTTTTGGTAACAGGAGACATTGTTTGGACGTTATTATAACGGAGAACGTGAGTACCTTTCATATGGAACTTAGAATATCCCAACGTTTGAAGGGTTTTGTATTTTCCAATTGTGGAGAGTATTTTTTTTTCTGTTGAATACCAGAGAATTTTTTTCATTGAAATTTTTGTCACATCGATTTTATTATTTTTTATTGGCTTCATAAAAAAATTCCCAATTTTCCAAAAAAAATCTTATCCAATTAACAGAACGTAATAATTGCACACCCGCATACTGTAAACATTCATCTTAGACGCGGCCCTTCATAACAACATTCTAACTAAGCACAATATGCCGCAATGTAACTATTCAATAGCTGAAGTAAGTGCTACTTGAGGGTAAGAGTGCAAAGCAACATGAACCGCACTGGCGGGCTGACAGGCAGGCAGGTCATATCCAGTTGCTGTGGCATTATTTCTTAACGGCATGCCAAACCAAACCACCACGAAACGACCGGACAAGCAACGAAGTAAAAGAACAATAACGAAATCACAAAGATTCTAGCCGGCAAACGCAAAAGACCGACAGTGGCGGCTTTTAAAAAAGAAATCATTTTTTGTTTTGCTTTTTCTTGCAAGCGAGAGAAGCAGGCTTTGGTGTCAGAGGACAATAGAAACGTAAAAGGATAAGGCAGAAGAGTAACAAACGAAGAAGCAAACCAAGATCTAATTGAAGCAAAAATTAAATATCTTAAGAAGATAATTGAAAAAGAAATTAAAGGTGCGACGAGAGATATCAGTGGTAATTGAATCAACAACAACAAGAAGGTCCTGGTGGTGTCCTTCGCCAAGGCAATAATCTTTAAGCAAAAGTTTGGAAAACAAAAACACAATTAGAAAATACAATAAAAGTTGTAAAGTTGTTTCCGTTGTCAATGTATTGGTGTTCAATTAAGGATATACATTGTATCTAGCACGTGAGTGGTGTGATGTGCCATTATCTTTGTTCAAGTGGTGGGGGTGGTGTCAATAACCTTTAGTCAGGACAAAGACCTGCGAAACGAAACAAAAAGAAAACACGTGCTATCAAGGAAAGTGAAAAACAAGTTCCGTGGGAAAGGGTGTTGAATAATTTTCAAAAAAAAAAAATTAAATATAAAAAAATCACAATCTCGCTTATATCATTAAAGAATCTGAAAACGAATCCTTTAAACCAATTGCCTTAACAATTCTCTTCAATCAACAACTTTTGGTGCAGTTCACACAAAGCAAAAAAGGAAAATAAGGCAACAGAACAACTTTAGAATAAAACAAACGGAACAAGGATATGAACTTTTCAAAAATTCAAGTTTGAGTGTTTTTTTTCTGTCTCTCATCCGTTATCCTGATATTGACCGTTCAACAAAGCACATCCAATTAGCCCAAACAGTTCCTAACAAAAAAGTAAAGCAGAAAACAAAATTAACGCTCAACAGTTTTAAAGCAACTTTTTCCATCAACTTTAACTTGCCGCATTACTTTTGGAGGTAAGTAGGGTGTGTGTGTGCGCGTTTTTTGCGAAATTTGGATTTTTTTCGCAAACAAAAAACTACATTCTTTAGCGGCAAATTCAAAACGGATATACACTCTCTGTGCAGGATATGACTGACAATGATTAAATGCAATTCCGTTTCGTGAATGTTGTCCTCAAAAATATGATAAATGTTCGTTAGTGTTTCTGTGTGAAGGATAACACCATAGCGTGATAGGATCATAATATTGTCGTCATTTGAAGATAGACATCTAAGAGTATGGTGTTAGGAAAGAAAATAGGAAATGCCAAAAATATTAAGTGGGGAGAATGATATAAACTGAGTCTCGTGTTACTGGAAAATTTATTTTATTTCAAAATATTAAAGATTATAGAGGCTTTGCATTCTAACAAATCTTAACTTAATTTGGACTACAATTTTTAGGAAAATGAGTGACTGACTGACTGATTCACCAACGTCCAGGCGAAACGGCTAAAGCTAGAATTTTGAAAATTTCCATGGTAGGGATGAGATAAGGCAGGGTCTATGGAATTCGGACTAAAATTTTGAATGAGAGTCTTTGTTGAGTTGGATAGTCATATCAAAGGCTTCGAATTTCGAACAATAAATGTGTCATTTGAAATTATGTGTGTAAAATTTGGAACCGTTTGTTTTAGGATGAATGAATGATGTCAGAATTTTAAAAGTTTGTATTGGAGTCCTCGCTGGTGCTGGGTTTGTGATAAAGAGGTTGTTTTGGATAAGTGTTCTACAATTGTACGAAAAGTACTAAATGGTACTAAATTTCGTATAGGTTGAAGAGGCAGAGCTGGTATCCCGAAATTTTATATTGAGGTCTCTGTTGGTTTCTAGGATTTAGATATGGTGGTGGTTTTGGATATGTGTACTATTATACGAAAAATACTAAATAGTTTTAAAATTGGCTCAATAGAATAGGTGATGTTGACGTTTATATCTGGAATTTAGATATAGTATGGTTTTGGAAATTTTAATATTTATTATTTTAATAGTTTAAAAACAACTAAATGTTGCTATATTTTATATTGGGTGAAGCGAGAGAGCTGGAATCCTGAACTTTGTTGGAACAAATCTAACATTTTAAGATGGACTTTTCGCTGACGATATAGCGGGTACTTGCTAGTTATTTCAAGTAAGAAATCCCATAAAATGTTACTTCTCGATACCCAAAAGAATTGTATGCAATTTGGTATTTTAAAATCGTAATGGGTTCCATTTCCTCTGATACTATATTTTCGACATATGTCCAAATTTCAGTTTTCCCCTTACATAACGGGGCATCGGGATATTCTGTATTTGTATATACTCCATCATGTCATTCCGTTTGTAACATCCCTAAATATTCGTCGTAGACCATGATCAGCAGAAAATGTTATGTCGTTGTTTGTTGAAATCATTAAGCAGCCCACATCATTTAACGCAGAGGTTTAAAATTTGGCAGAATAGTTGTGACTGGCATTAGCATATGTCGGTCAACGTTTTCGTATATCCCCCATATAACGGTATTGAAAAGGGGAAAATCGGCATTCGTCTTCGTTTTCTTATAGTGCCCATGTAGCGATACCTCCCGATACTCCATTTTTTTTTGACGAATTTGGCCACATACCTTACAACATTTTTTGGAATTTAACATTTAGAGTTTGCAATGGGTTATACCTCCTGTGGCATAACATTGCCTACTCGGTATTTTTATACCCTACACCATAGTATGAAGAGTATATTAAGTTTGTCATTCCGTTTGTAATACCTCGAAATACACATTTTAGACCCCACAAAGTATATAGATTCTTGATCAGCATAAAATTCTATGTCGATTTAGCTTGTCCGTCCGTAGATTGATAAAATTGTACTAAAATGTGTATTATGTCTGCAGGTATTTTCAATACCAAAGAAAATGGGTGATGTAGGTCCACGTTCTAGTATAGGTATTGGTATTTTGATGATTTAAGTGACAATATTCACCGGAAATGTTTCAAATTTGGTATTCGTAGTTCGTAATGGATACTACAGTCTACGACAGAAAATTGTCTGTACATGTGCACGTCTTCATATAGCCCCCATATTTAATTAAAAATATTTCATTTATTATTTTTGTTAATATTTTTATTTAAAATATTGTAGTGTGTGTAATTTGAAGATAATTGGACTTTTACATCATATTTTATGAGAGTTATTAGTAATGAAAATGTTGACTCTTTGTGGGGGAGGTTCCAGAAGGAGTGGACCGATATATCCCATCTTCACAAAAGATCTTGTGTTAGAAGAATTAATGCGATGTGTTAAATATGAAGAGAATCTTATGCTTATTTCGGATTTGATAATCGTTGTGTTTATTAAGAATGTTAACCCCTTTGTGGGGGAGGTACCAGAAGGAATTATCCGATCTCTATCATCTTTATAACACACCTTGAATTAATAAAAATATTGTAATTTGTGTAACTTGAAGACAATCGGACACCATTAAGTATTCTAAATGTTGACTTTTGTGGGGAGTGGACCGATAAAAATATTGTAATGTGTGTAGCTTGAAGATCATCGGACTTCAATATCACTCTTATAAATATTCAAAATGTTGACTCTTTTTGGGGGAGGTACTTGATATTGCCCATTTTCACACCTGACCTAGCACAGATCCTTTCTCTTCCTGAGCAGTAAAACACCTTTTTTGAAAATTTCGACATTTTGTGAGGAAGGTACCATAAGGAGTTCACCTAATAATTTTGATAATGATATTACGGTGTACCAAGTTTTGACCAAATCGGGTACTCCCTTCGAGAGTTATCGTGCGCACAAGACATATCTAGATCGACTCTAAATGTCCTGAAACGGATTTGGTCCAAAGACACCAAGGGTCTACAACTGTTATTTCGATGAGGCACGTTTTGGCCGTATCAAATGATATATACTGTCTCTAGCCAGTGACTGAGGGTATACAAAGTTTTTACAAAGATAAAATCTTAAAATTCTATTCAATCTTGGCACTTCATAATATAACATAATATTGAATAGTTATGACTCTCGTTAAAAGTGGTAAGAATCATAATTTCTCAGACTTTGAACTTCCTAATATCTTAACAAATTTTATATCTACCCCAAATTAAGTAACAGCTAATACTACATGGAGAAGGATGCGAGATAGACCCATAGTTACTTTAGAGGATGTTCATAGACTCACTTTCTGAGTCGATTTATGCATGTCAGTCTGTCCGTCCGCCCGTCTGTTCATGTATTTTTGTAAACAAAATGCAGGTCGAATTTATTATCCGATTGAAATGAAATTTTCCAAACAATATTTGTTTGGCCCAAGGACGAACCCTATTGAAAATGATGAGAACCAGTTCAAATGTAAATATTGCTCCCATATATACCTTCAACCGATTGCAGGTCAATCGTGCACCAAATGATCAAATCAGCTCAAATAAACTGCATCTTGGGAATTCCGACAGAATTCATCCTAGAAACAAGTACTTCAAAATATTGTCAAAATCGGTTCGGATTTGGTGTTAAAGACCCTGATTCGATTCCGAGTGATTCGATTTTCACACAATTTCTAAGTTATGCCAAAATATTCGAACATGCGTTGTTCGAACGAAATCGGACACTGTTGACATTTTATGAGGGAGGATTAGACTGCCGAACATTATCTAAGTTTAGCAATAATATTGTGATGAACCAATTCAAATCAAATTGGACACTCCCTTCGAGGTTTACAATGTTCATCAACCGCCCTGATAGATTCACATACAGGTGGACAAATCGAAGCATATGACTAGATCAATTTCAAATGTTCTCAAACTAATTTTATTCCAAGAGACCTGGGTTCTTAAACCATTATTTCGATGGGGTCAATTTTGGTCATATCAAATGATGCCATTTGCGCGATTTTTGGCTACTCTGACTTTAACAAAATTCCTCTACTATTGTTATTATTTGTATCACGCTAAAGTCGTATTCAAAATTTGTAACAATGAAAGCCGTAAGAAATGTGATATTATTGCCTTATATTCTGAAAATTTGGCACTTCCCAAGATTTCTGCTTTTTTAGATCCAGCGTCAAGATATGACATATCGGTGTAAATATTCTAGTACCATCCTATGTTGACGATTTGAAAGTGCATAAATTTAATATAAAAGGGGGCAAAGGCCACGATTTAGTTTAAACTTGGTACATATCAGTTTAAACTAAGACCAGACAAAACCTTTAAATCTCTTATTGTTTTTAGACATTAATGGTAATATACCGAGTGGACATATGTCGGCAAACTAACAATACTTTCATACTTGTTCAAAGCTGATTCACTTAATTTTGGTCATGTATATTGATATTGCTTTAAGTACCATATTGTACTCACATATAGATACCTACATACCAAAATCCTACATTAAATTACTTCAAATTGCTACATCGTTTAGCCTAATATCGCTCCATACAGACCTCTCAAATTAAGGCAACCTCCTTCGAATCTGTTTACTTTGCCGAGATTTAATTTCATTTCTTTCATCTGCCATTCTAACCCTCTTTGCTAATTTAACCTATTTACACAATGCTAAAAGATATAACATTAATATAATAGCTACTTAATAGAAGTACTTTCGAAGAAGAAGAAGTAGAAGAAGTCCACAATAGTATCCGTTGTGTACGTTTGTTTTTTTCTTTTCGAAACACTTTTTCCGCCATTCACTGCCATTTGAAGTGGTCTGCCACAATCTGTGGCCATATTTACCGCGCAAATATTTGAAGAAATCTAAACGTAACACTTGTCGAGCAATTATGTGCTTATTACGGAATGGCAAAGCGACTTCTCTCGCTTTGCTAACTAAAACAAATATAATTAAAGCTCAAGAAAGAAACAAAAAGCTGACGCAGAACAAGCACAAGAAGAAGCAGAAGAAAATAATCAAAAACAACTTTTTTCTCCTTTTTCAGTTCTAAGTTTTGTTTGACTTCAACGCGACTTTAGTTAAACAGAACTTTTCTTTTTCTACAGCCAAAGTCTGCAAGAGTCGAATCAAGGCAAAGATTGCAGGGAGGCAAGTGCAACGGCAAACTTCAACACACACACACAGATACTCGTAAGCAGAGTGGCAGCTAGCACAACTGGCAAGGAGAAGGCCAAAAAAACAAAACTAAACTTAATAGTTGGCTACTACGTCATCAGCAGAAAATAAGCCACCACCAACCACAACATCACCTTTTCAGCGAAGAGAAAGAAAATCACTCACCCATACAGAGACACAGGACATACACAGGCATAACAATCACAAAACAATCGTGTGAGTTAAATTTTAAAAAAGAAAACTCCAAAGGAGACGAAGAAGAAGAAATTCGAGCCACAGCAGGATGTCTAATCCTGACGAGAATGACGCAGCGGCGACGGCGGCAAATGGCAATGCGGCTAACGAGCCCTCATCACATATGGATGGCGGCCGAATTACGCCACAACTTAGTACTGGCTTACAACTCGAACAAGACGTTTCGCCAAATCCATCGCCAACGCACACGTCGTATGATGACCATCAGCAGCAGCAGCTGGGCAGCAACAAATTGAACGGCAACAGCAGTCTACGCGGCAGTCCCACCAAATCACTGGGTGACAGACGTAATTCCAACTATCAATACAACTCGGACAACGACGACGATTATGGACCAGTCAGTGCCACGGGTCCTGTGAGCGATTATTGGTCACAACGTAACGGTGGTCTCAGTCAAAATCCCTCGGGCCGCCAGAGTCGAGCCGGCAACACCGGCAATAACATTGGTGGCAGCCAAACGCCCACGAATCCCTATCAGGACAATATGAGTGAGAATTCGGAACAACCACCGGTCCAGCCTCTGTTACGTTCCAAATCGCGTCCGGAACTATCTTCAAATGCCCAGGTGAATAGTGCCATGAGTGCGGCCAGTCGTTATTCGAATCTCTCGTATTGGAAGGCGCGACGAGTGGTCTTCTATCGCAATGGTGATCCCTTTTTTCCCGGTGTTGAATTGCGTTATCGGCCGGGACGTGACATCACCTCGCTGGATGTGTTGCTCGAGAAACTCTCGCCGAAAATGGATCTGCCACGTGGCGCCCGTTATGTCTTCTCCATGGATGGTGATCGCAAATATCATTTGGACGAATTGGAGGATGGTGCCTCATATGTGGTCTCCTCGTTTAAGGCGTTCAAGGTAAGTGGCAAGCCAATGCAAATGGTTTGAGTTTTATATTTCAAAAGCAAAAAAAAAGTAACAACAAATGCGTGTCCAATGAGATGCGTGCCGCCGCCAGTGAGCGTGATGTGCTCTCATGTAACATGTCACCCTAATTGTTAACTGCCTCAGAACAGAGTTTGACATAAATTGACTTTTTATTGTTGTTGCCAATTAAAATTGCAAATTTCTTTTAATGGCATTTCATCAAGTTCACATCGAATCACACACACAGACACACTTCAAGATGTGAACGCATGGTTTTCTTGTTGTTGCTGTTGTTGTTGTCGTTTTGAATTTAAAAACCAAGAAATGATTAGTTAAATTGTAGAAACAACCTTCACATCATTTTCTTTCTATTGGCCTCATTTCTTTTTTAGTTTTATAGCATTTTCGTGCGAAATCAATAAACAAATTTGAATATTTGACCCAAATACACTGCGAATGGGAGTAAGTAAATGAAACCGAAATTTAGGTTTTATTTTGGTCAAAAGCTAGACGACCAGCCACGTTAGCCAACCAAAGCCTCCACCACCATCAACGCCGCCACAAGCAATAACAAGTACGAAATTGGAAACAGTGGGGGAGTTTTTTTGAATTACTCAAAGGAATTAGAATTTAAATGAGTTATTTGGAACTAGGTTTAGGGTGTTTGTATGAGAACATAACCATTTTTCTAGTCTAATGACCCAATTTACTCCAACGTCTTTTTCAGAAAAAAAAAAACTTGAGAAGAGGAAATTTGCCAAATCAGATTTCTATATCTTAAATTTTACCAACATAGATAGGAAAATGTGGCTAGGGCCTAAAAGTACCTACAATCTGTTCGTCCCACTATATGTGAGCTTTTCTAAATCTTGCAACTCTATGCAAAATGTTTTCTAACAAGAACTTTCAAAATCTAAGAACCACGATCGATGGCCCAATTTTGTTTAGAAATTTAAAGCTTATAAAATTATGTACATCGGGATGAGCCTTTTTTTTCAAAATATCAACCCTATTGCATAGAGAGATTATTTCATTGGAAATTATCGCTTTTTCAAAAAGTTTAAACAAGTTAAAAAGCAGCAGTCGGTTTTGCCGCCAGATGTAAACCCTCAACCAATGTTGGATTATTTCAATATATTTTTATACCCTCCACCATACTATGGAGGGCATATTAACTTTGTCATTCCGTTTGTAACTCCTCGAAATACTCATGTCAGACCCAACAAAGTATATATATTCTTGATCAGCGTAAAATTCTAAGTCGATTTAGCCATGACCGTCTGTCTGTCTGTCTGTTGTAATCACGCTATCTTTCGAACGAATTGAGATAGATGACTAAAATTTTGCACATATGTTTATTTTGCCAGTAGGCGGGATAAGTTCGTAAATGGGCCATGTAGGTCCACGTTTTCATATAGCCCCCATATAACGCTACCTCCCGATATTCGGTATTTTGATGATTTTAGCGACATTATTTACCTGAATTGTCTCAACTTTGGTATTTCAAGTTCGAAATGGATAGTACAGCCTATGACAGAAAATAGTCTGTGCAGGTCCACGTCTTCGTATAGCCCCCATATAACGGTACCTCCCAAAAGTCGGTATTTTGATGATTTTAGCTCCATTATTCACCCGAATTGTTTCAAATTACGTATTTAGAGTTCGTAATTGGAACTACAATCTGTGACAGAAAAATGTCTATGCAGGTTCAGGTCTTCGTATAGCTCCCATATAAGGGTACCTCCCAATATTCGGTATTTTGATGATTTTAGGTACAATACCCACCGAAATTGTTTGAGATGTGTCATTTGAAGTTAGCAATGGATGCTACAGCCTGCGACAGAAAATTGTCTATGCAGGTCCTGGTCTTCGCACAGCTCCGATATAACGGTACCTCCCTGTATACGATATTTTTATGAGTTTAGCTATATTATTCACCGTTTATTTCAAGTTTCGAATTTGAATATGGTAATGGCTAATGAAAACAATGCCTATGTAGGTCCACGTCGTATAGACCCCAATAAAACGGCAATATTCGGTATTTTTAAAATTTAACAGAATTTTTTAAGGATTTTTTTTTTAAATTTCCAAATTCGTTCCAAATGGTGGAGGGTATTCAATGTTCGGCCCAGCCGAACTTACTGCTTTTTAACTTGTTTCTTCCGTTATGATAATTTAAATTGATGACCCTCTATAGAGTACGTTCCAATGGAGTATTCCATTTTCATACTTCATCTAATACCGAATGGAATAGTTAAAATTACAAGAAAATCTAAAATCATTTATATTCTTTTTGTTTTGCGAAATCATAAATTCCATATTCATCTAAAATTGAGAGAAATATTTAGATATAGCTGACTTGCTTCGCTTTGTGCGTGAGGTATCAGAAGGGGTTAGCAGATATGTATCATCTTTACAACAGACCTTGTATTAGTAAAATTGTTTGTGTGTGTGTGTGAAATTTGAAGAGATTTGGATGCTTTTTTCGCTTTTTTGACTGTTTTGTTTTTCAAAATCTTTAAAACTATGTGGGGTAGGTTCGAAAAGAAATGGTCCGACCTCTCTCATATTTATAAAAGATTTTGTGTTGAGGGAAATATTGGGACGCACCAAGTCTGAATGGAATTGGATCTTAATTTCGGATTTTATAATCGTTTTTTTTTTAATCAAAATTTTTACCCTTTGTGGGGGAGGTACCAGAAGGGGTGGAGAGACATATTCCATCTTCACACCAGACCTTGGGTTAATACAAATATTGTGATATGTATAATTGGGAGACGATAGGAATCTTTCATCATATTTTGTAAAAGTTATAATTATTCAAAATGTTTACCTTTTCTAGGGGAGGTACTTGATGGAGTGGATGGATATTGTCCATTTTTGCACCAGACATAGCACTAATGCAAATATTAGGATGCACAAAGTTGAAGCAAAATTGGATTATTCTTTCTCTTTCTGTACAAAAAATACATTTTTTTGAAAATGTCGACCTTTTGTGTTGGAAGTACCACAAGGAGTGGACCGATATTGCCCATCTCCGAACTCGATCTAAGTTTGACAAAAATATTACGATGTACCAAGTTTGGACCAAATCGGATGCTTCCTTCGAGAGTTATCGTGTGCACAATCCAGCCAGACAGACCGACGGCGGGACGGACTGACTGACTGACATCGCTAAATCGACTTCAAATGTCCTGAACGGATTTGGTCCAAAGAGATCTAGGGTCTAAGACCGTTATTTCGATAAGGCACGTTTTGGCCGTATCAAATAATATATTCCTTCTCTAGCCATATGGCTGAAGGTATAAACAATCTAAATAGGACGCGATGTTATATTAAAAACACCGATTCATTACCAGATCACGTCCCGTGATGGTCTTCGAGTATCATAAATTCTGAAGCCCAGACGAAACACACGATACTTCACCAGTAAGGAAAAGACAAAGGTTGAATGGTATCGATGGTATTAAGGATCAGGGTATAGTAAATCGTGATCGTTAATAAATGATCATTACAGATTTGATTAGGTTGAAATTTGAAATTGGATGGAACATAACTTTATATGAGAGGTCTCAATCAATCTGAATCGGTGTCCATAAAATTTCATAAAGTTATTTGTCCGACTGTAAAGTCTGTACGACTTTCCTACCAAAAATTTTTAATTGTAATCGAAGCTTGCTCGTATAAATTAAAATTCATTCTAATTGGTCAAACGAAGCATCACATATTGCTACTAGCAAATGCACGCTTCTTTGTCAGCGAAAAAAATTTTAGACTCGTCTGTCAGTTCGTGTTAGGCCTTTTAAGATCTCAAAATGCACAATTTTTTCAGTTTGACAAAAAATTTGAATAAACAAGTATAAAAGCAGTAATTATGCCCGGGCCGAAGTTTGAATACCCTCCAACATTTGGAAAGCACTATGACATTTTCAAAAAATAAAAATAAATTCTGTTAAAATCTCGGAAGGTGCCGATATATGGGGGGATAAACGATATTGTGGACCTATATAGACAAATCTATGATAAGATACTCACAAATAACTCCTTGTATAGAATTTAAGACAATTCCGTTATCGGGGGTTACTATTATTATTCCTGGGGGATATACGATATCATGGACCTATATAGAGAACTAGCTGTCAGGGGGTAAAGTGTTCACAAAGAACCCATTGTGTAGAATTTCAGACAATTCTGTTGAGAAATGTGGCTAAAATCATCAAAATGCCGAATATCGGGGGGTACCGTTATATGTGGCCTATATGATATCGTGGACCTATACAGATAATTCTCTTTCAATGAATAAAGTACTCACAAGGAACTCGTTGTGCGGATTTTCAGACCATTTCATTGGAAAATGTGGCTAAAATCATCAAAATGCCGAATATCGGGGGATACCTTTATATGGGGCTTATACGATATCGTGGACCTATATAGACAATTCTCTTTCAGGGGGTAAAGTGCCCCCAAGAACTCCTCGTGTGGATTTTCAGACTATTCTATTAGAAAATGTGGCTAAAATCATCAAAATACAGAATATCGGGGGGTACCGTTATATGGGGGCTATACGATATCGTGGACCTATACAGATAATTCTCAGCCAAGGGATAAAGTACTCACAAAGTACTCCTTGTGTAGAATTTCAGACAATTCCATTGAAAAATGTGGCTAAAATCATCAAAATAGCTCATATCGAGGGTACCGTTATATGGGGTCTATACGATATCGTGGACCGATATAGCCCATCTTCGAACTTGACCTGCCTGCAGACAGAAGAGAGATCTGGGCAAAATTTTAGCTTTATATCTTAATTCGTTTAGCCTGTAGCGTGATTACAACAGACGGACAGACGGACGGACAGGGCTAAATCGTCTTAGGATGTTACGCTGATCAAGAATATATACAATTTGGTGGGTCTAAAATGATTATTTCGATGAGCTACAAACGGAATGACGAACTTAATATACTTAATATACCATACTTAGTAGAATATA